TCGGCTACTTCGAGTACTAATAATGATGCTATGATCAACGTGGCTAGTATAGGTCCATCGGCACAGACCGGTGCGACGACATCAACATCAACGACTAATAACTCTAGCGCCATGCCTAACATCCAGACGACTTCTTCAACAAGCTCTCCGGTTGTGGTATCTACGGTTTCTAGTGAGTCTATTCTTCCTGCTAGGACGAAGCGACTCTTTGTGCCCGTTCCTGAGAAGTTTGCTAATAAGCCAACGGACAATATACGTGACTGGTTTGAAGCTTATGAGCTCTATACCTACGGTAATCTCTATGATGATCGTGCTCGTGCCCGTTTCCTGGGTGCATTCCTTACTGGTGATTCTGCTAATGTTTGGAAGACTCAGTGCTCTAAGGTTAATTACGAAGCTGACAAGGCAATTCTCATTAAGACTTTTGAGAAGTGTCGATTGCCTGATGAAGCTTGGAGTCGGTTTGATAACTACCAGTGGGATCGCATCCAACCATTGTCGGTTTATGCAGCTGCCCTGTCACGATACTTGAACGAGTACAACGACTTGCTGAAGCCTGATTGTCGACTTTCACTACCTGCCAGAGAGACTCTTTTGGTTGAGAAGTTATCTAAGTTGGCTACAGGCGCGGCGAAGGCTGAGATTCGTCGGGCCCGTCCTCGGAGTGCTGCCGATGTTTGTGACCTTTTGGGTGCCTACGTTGACAACAGTGATCAGACTGGTATTAATGCTGTCCGTTCTATAGAACCTAAGTTAGATGCCAGCATTGAGATGTTATCCAAGCTACTTGGTGCCTTTGAGGGTGCCCAGTCGCGACAAGTTGAGCAGTTTGATCGACTCTGCGCCGTTTTGGGTAATCCACAGCCAAAAGGCCAACCTAATGGACAAGCAGTACAAAATGGTCAACAACGACGACGAGGTGTTCGTAGATGTGGTATTTGTTCTGGCCCTCATCTAACTCTGGAGTGCTTCCACAAGAAGTTTACTGTTGGTTGTGCTATT